ACCATATGACAGAAATGAAGCACAGAAGGAAAAATTTTAAGTGCGGAATATATATATATATATATATATATATATATATATATATATATATATATATATATATATATATATGGTGTGCGTATGTGAATTGGGACAAAATATGGCTCAGATTATAATTATAAATCTTACTGTTCTTTCTTATTAATGTAACATTATTTATATATATATAATGAACGAGAGATAGTCAAAGACAAAATTAGATGAACAAACTGAGATAGCTGTCTGGCTAAATATTTATATATTAACGTAAAAAGTTTGAAATTTCTTGTTAACTGTATACAATAAATGCAAGTGCAACATATGTTTTATGTTGGGTGGTATGTTACAGCCTCCATTCTGTCATCTCCTGAAAGAATCAATCAAAATAAGTTATTTTCCTACAGTAGTTAATATTGTCTATATTTACAAATACAGTCTCTTCCTCACTCAAGGTGCGTACATTTAATTATCTGACACATAGGGACGAGCGCATGCGCACTCACTAGCACCTGCTTTATATTTCTGAATGTCTCAGATGGCAATGTCTCAAATATGTCTTCTAAAACGTATCTGACTGCATCAATGGCTTATAAATTAATAGCCTATAACTGTTTTACTCTAGCCAGAAAATTCTTGAACAAACACCCAGTTTTTAGCACATATAAAACTGTGTTTATGTAACGGCAGTCATTTTTTTTTCTTTCTGTTGTTTTTCGTCATCGTATTTAACCTCTGAAAGTAAACAACTTATTCCGTTTTCTTTACCCAGGCTAATCTTCCTAGGGTCACGCTTGATTGGTACATTTCTGGAATAAATCCTATAATTGTAAAAAAAAAAAAAATATAACTTTTCAATTTTTATTACGGAAAACAACTTCCTTCCTATTGCTGCACTCTTCAACCAACCGTTCCGTAGCATTGATGACATCAGATGCGTGCTTTTAGTGTCTTCATTTAAGAGTTGACAAGAAAGATGCAGATGGGAGTTAAAATAGAATCACATATTAAAGGATTAAATAGGGAATCATGTTTACACGGAGAATATACTTTCCTCAGGGGACCCTCTACAAACCCTACAGAAGCCTAATCCTGACAAACTATTAATGGTCGGCCATGATGTGTTGGTCGATGTATGCACGGATTGTACTGGGTTTAGACAGGCGAGCACCAAACTCAATACCTTATTCGAAAATTGCAAAAATAAAGTAAAAAATTAAACAGGCCTTATCAGTTCTTTTTCATTAAACTATACCTTATATATTTATGCGCGCGCGTGTGTGTGAGAGAGAGAGAGAGAGAGAGACAGGAAGAGAGGGAAAGAGAAAGAGAGTGAATATGGAAATAGGGATCAACACTGCATGGTGACAGTCGCCATATAGTGTTGATCTCTATGTCCACACTGACTATACGATTTCTCTTCGATATTGTGTATTCTTCCATTTTTTTCTCTCTATTTTTCAATGTCAACTTTTTTATTTATCTAATCCCGCCATACATTTATTTATTTATTTTTATTATTATTATTAAAATCGTCCTTCTATACACACTGTTTTCCCCTTTTGAAGTGAAGTTCCAATCTTTAGTCAACCCACTCCCCACTGGCCGTTTGTTCTTCCCTTCCCATCGCTTAACTAAATCGAAAAAAAAAAAAAGACGTAGCAGGTTATTGACCCTTGTACACTAAGCCCTTTCCCCACCTGTTAGCACCCCCCCGTCCCTGACTCCTACACAATTCTCTTTTTCCCCTGGTTCGCTCAGGTCCCCTGATCTTTGTCCGCAGATTATATCTAATCCCGACTTCTCAGCTTTCTCTGCCGACATGTATAAACATGTTCTTCATTACAAAACAATCAAATTAGCCTCAGTTTGGGGGCAACCAACTTATTTGTTCTAGGAAATCAGAAACGTCGGGTCAACTCCTTACTATCTCTTTTGAAGGAGGTGGAGTGGGACTGGGGGGGGTCTTTGAATTATAAGTGGCTAGGGGAGGCAGCACAGGAAGAGAAGAAGCGTTAAAGAAGGGTTCTTCCGTTGTTTGGGCCTTTCATTTTCTCTCTCTCTCTCTCTCTCTCTCTCTCTCTCTCTCAACTCCTCAGTTTTATTCAGTGTCTCTTTTCTTTTTCTTTTTTTTGCCTTCACGTTTTTTCCTTTCTTTTTCTTCATCCGTTCTCCATCTTCTCACTTTTATTCTGTATTTTCTAAGCTATTTTTTTCTTTCTCTCTCGCTCTCATATATATATATATATATATATATATATATATATATATATATAGTTTGCTAAAAAAAAAACAAACAAACAGTATAGCATGATGATAAAACGCCCCAAACCTAATAAAAACAAGGTTTTAACCTCAAAATGTTTGTTATTATTAAGAGGAAAAAACAAAGTATTTTTTAATTATTTAAAAAAAAAAAGTCAACTTTGTAAGACTTGTGTTAATGGACATTTTTAGTGCAGCAGTAAAACCCATTCATTTGGAAATTCTTGCAAAAATCAAATAATTCCCTGATTTTAATGAAACTTTCAGGACTTATTCAAAAATGAATGAATTTATTTATATTTTGAAAATTTTTATTTTTAGAAAATCTTTGTAAAAATATTTTTTACATCTGTTATCCCCCGCCCAAATTTAATTTTATGAAATTTTCTAGAATTTCAAACAGTTCGAATTTTTTTTTTTTATATATTACTTATAAGCAGGACTACTTAGAGAAAGTAAATCATCACTTTTTTTAACAACTACTTCCAACTTTTTACAAATTTGCTCCAAGTCGTAAAATAAAGACTGTAATAAAACAATCTAATTTTCTAATTAGGCTTTTATTTCCTTTTATAAACAATATATATTAAGGACATTATTGTCTGAAGAAAGAAAATTTTCGATGAATAATTAATTTTTACAAGAATTGTTTGCATTTTTCTATAATTTTTTAAAAAATTGTTTTTACTTTTCTTTAAGTTTAAAAAATGTTTTAAAATTCTTACAGAGTACAAAGTAGGTTTATTAAGGTATTAATTGAAGACTGCATTTACTAAGCGAAAATTAAAATCTTAATACAAGTCATACTGCCAAAACATTTTACCATAATTAAAGGTATTTTTTGTGCGTCAAAATGTGTTATTTTTTTTTAGTATGGTGTATCGTAAGTCATATTATGGTTAAAAAGGTCACGTGTTTCAAGGCTTGTCCTCGTTAGAGAAAACTCCTTGACATAAAGGTTTTCGGCTGCGAGCAATACTTTCATTTCCCTTCCGTGTTTCATCTTGAAGGGTTGATTTCTAAAGTTTTTTTTCTTATCTCACTAAGTATTTTTAATTTTGCTATGTATTCATCTTACTTTATAGTGTGTATACTTTTCATAGTGTGTTTTATGCATAGTTTTTATTATTTTACGTAGTTAAGAAAAATAATTTAATTTGTTTTTAGTCTATTTTTAGTTTCTTTTCTTTTTTGCGAATTAAATAACTTTAACAATTTTTAACCATCAAAGTGTAGAAATTAATAATAAAGAATATAAAGATATTATCTTAGTCAAAAATTTAATAAATAAGAGTGAGTTAATAATTTAATTTTTAATTTAATAACTGAGATAATATAATTAAAATTATTATATTATCTCTGTTATCAATTTAAAAATTTAATAATTGAGAGTAAGATAGTTATTAAATTATCTCACTCAGTTATTAAATTAAAATTAAATTAAGATAATAAAATTATCTCATTTATCATTTTAAACAATAACTGAGTGAGATAAATTTATTATTAATATAATAATAATTTTATTAATTATTATCTCAGTTATTAAATTAAATATGCAATAACTTAATGTAATATTAATAATTAATAAAATAAAATTATTTATCATTATCATAGCTATTAAATAATGAAATACCATTATAGGGATAATTCAATAATGTAAGAAATTTTCATAGTATTTTAAATTATTATAAGAAACGTTCTTACTTAGAATTCATAAAATTATATAAATTCTGGTGCACCATACTAAACGTGTCAAACATTCAGCCATCAAATTATCGATGGAGACATGAAAATAACAAGACCTCGAGGTCAAGAAATATTTATCTAGTACATATTCTGTTAAAAATGAGAAGAAAAATAAAGAAAAATCCTTGATAATGGCTAATCTATCCGAAAGCATTCGGATATATAGAAGATTCCGACAGTTCTTACATAGTTTATGTCCTGAAAAGTAAACACAAGAAAAATTTACTCAAACTATTAATCACAGTACCTTGTCAGTCGTCTTGTATAAAAGAGGGATTGCTGCCCAAATACACAATTATATATATAAAGGGTGTTTCATTAAGACGGATTATATATAAGGGTGTTTTATTAAGACGGTTCAAAGTCAGCAGTAAATAAATCAGTGTTATTGGTAAAAAATTATTTATTTCTCTATTGGATCATGTTATTTAAGTCATGGCAATTATGTGTGAAAAATAATATCACCCCAATGTCCGCCAAATCTGAAAGAAAAGGGGAAAAAAATCATTAGAACTTACTTCACATTTAAAATCGGTCGAAGTTATTGAACACCCTTTATATATATATATATATATATATATATATATATAGAGAGAGAGAGAGAGAGAGAGAGAGAGAGATTCATTTTTTATCTGTTAACTTTGTTCTTCCCATAACTTTCCCTTCTTTTTTTTTTTTTTTTAACGATCTTATTGTCTCCCGCCATTTCTTTCTCTCACCCTCACTGAGTCTTTAAGAAAATAGCGGTTACTTAAGTATTTATGCGCGGCTTCTTGGTACGAACTTGTTTTTTCTTGTTTCTTTAACTCTTTGCAACTCATTATTGTTAATGCGTTATACTAACTTGGTTATGTGCCTGGCTTTGTTTGTTTTTAGTTCTTATCATTATGTTGACTCTCTCTTCGCTTGACAAAATATTATTTTCCACTTGGGCCATTTTCTTCGCTTTTTTTTTTCTTTCTTTGTCTTATTGACGATAGTAAAAGCTCTTAACCAAGTTTCTCACCTCCCCCTCTTTTCTACGCCCAAATGCCGGGTTTGTTTTTTATTTTTGTTAGAACCTAAGTGCTTATGTGGTATTATTGGGTGAGATAGAGGGGTGACTAAGCATGTACTATGCTCAGTTTTGTCTACCGGATTATAACTGATGATGGCCGTTGTTATGTCTGCGAAAGCTTAGTAAATATTTCGGATACAAATACGTCATGAACAAACACGGAACTCTGCCTCTCTTTCGACTTGTTTGACCATTTTTTTTTTCGTTATTCGCTTACTGTGCACCTGTTCTTTAAAACAATAACTACTTATTTACCGTGTGTTCATGCATACATTCATATGTATATATGGGCACGTACCCAAGTCAGCTGAATGTTCGCTTTCAGACCATGAGACCCGTGTTCGAATCTCACCAAGGGCGATTTGTCAGGAAGGTGGCTTCATGATGCTATCGATCCCAACATGCTACACTCCCTAGCAGTCAGGCATGCTCGGGATACGAGATCCCTGTCATTTACTATTATAAAGATATAAAAAGTTTATGATTTTTTTTTTTTATTAATCCAACAGCTATTACCGCTTTGATATATATATATATATATATATATATATATATATATATATATATATATATATATATTATCAGTGTTAATAGTTGTTGGGTTAAAAAAAAAAAATCATCATTCCAATGACTTGGGCACGTGCCCATATAAACATATGTATATATTAACACAAGGTAAACAGTAGAGCATATATATATATATATATATATATATATATATATATATATATTGCGTGTGTGTGTAATATGAAGTGGTAATTAGTAGGGATAATTCTAAGGAGGATATAAATCCAAAGAGAGCTCAATGTAAGAACAGAGCAATATAATAATGGGATACAGGATCCTTAAAAATCCGTCGGGCCAGGTTATAAATTTATATCGTGGAACTCACGTCCGTTTCTTGAGACCAGTTTTACATGAATAAATGGAGTTCAATTCATTCAGACACAAGGAAAACGAAAAAGAAGAAAAAAGGAGTAAAAAGGAAAAAGTTTTAATATTAATAGCGAGAAAGAAAAAAAGGGGAAGAAAGACAATAAAAAGGTTGTTTGGGAGAAAGAGAAAGACAGGTGGAGGGGAGAGAGAAAGAGAGTGAAAAAGGGAAAGAAAGGAAAAAGGGAATTCAGAATAGTCGACAGGATGACCCAGAAATAACTCCGGAACCATCTAACGGTCGAAATTGTTGCTGGGGAGAGAATCAGAGTTCGATCAGCCCTGATTGAATCGCTTGTAGGAAGGAACACAGGAATGTCACATTAATGACGACTACCTCCTGTTCATCGATATTATGTATTTTGCGATATATATATATAGAGAGAGAGAGAGAAAGAGAGAGAGAGAGATACATCCTTTTCGATGAACAGGAGAGAGTGTGTATATATATATATATATATATATATAATGTGTGGTTGGGTGGAGAGAGAGAGAGAGAGTGGGAGAGGATAATAAGAATCAACACTACATGGTGACTATCGGTTTTACTCTTCAGTGCTAGTTTGAATTATGGAACTGATAGTCCCATGGCCACACTTGCAATATATTTAAACACTCTAGGTTCAGTATTCAGCGTTCTTCCCTGATAAGTATACAAGATTATAAACACACATATTTTATGTACATTATATATATATATATATTAACCCATATAGGATACCTTAAAACTATTTTATTATATTCAGCTCTTGCTAAACAGTAGAGCCTTTTCGCTATATTTATAACCCATTATATATATATATATATATATATATATATTTATATATATTTGGTTGGATAGATGTGAGTTTGTGACCTGGGTTTCACGCTTTAGCGATCGTCGAACAAACTGATTAATGTTGAAAAAATTTGGGTTTGTTTTTTAAAACATTAATCAGTTTTTCTGACGATCGCTAAAGCAAACCCAGGGTCAAAACTCACATCTATCCAACCAAATATGTTAGCTCTATCTCTGATATTGAGCGCTTTCTAATAAGTACCGCGTATATAATATATAAATAATTATACATACTTATATTTATTTATATTTATATACACTTTTCACACACACACACACACACACACACATATATATATATATATATATATATATATATATATATATATGTGTGTGTGTGTTATTCAAACATGTGTTGTTGAAAACTACGGAACTTTTCGCAGGTTTTTTAGTATTTGGCTCTAAGTTGTTGAAATAGTACTCTAGTCGATGGTTTTTTATCACGCGTTTCAGTTATCGTCAACCGTCATCATGGCGTATGTTTTGGTTTGAAAATATGTTGTTTATTGTTTTAGTTTTATATATATATATATATATATATATATATATATATAGAAAGAGAGAGAGAGAGAGAGACACTGAGCTCTTTGTAAGTTTTGGCTTTTTCATCATCCCTGCCATTCCTTGTTCTACCATCCATTTACACAAGTTTGTTAAATAGGTTACTTGCTATTTCCTCTCTGTCCTTTCTCACCTTCAATATTTCCTGTGAATGTCAAAATCTCTAAGCCTTTCTTCCTCATTATGTCTGATTCTAAATATAAACGTTTTTTTTCGTTTCCTTCTCCCTTCACTCTATATGTCTTATCAAATCTTTATTACGAAGCAAAGGTCAGCTATTAAAATATATGTACGATAATGGTGTCGATGATCCCGAAATGGGTCAGCAAAGATGAATTATTTGTGAGCAGTTTAATTTATACACTAATTTACACACATTAAATCTTTGCATAAAACCGCGATCAAGTGATGTCATTTAGCGCAAACTCAACATAACAATTGCTTGTTCAGTCACGATTTTTTTTTTTTTATTGAACCTAATTTTTCTTTATCTTAAACTTTCAAAACTCGTGCCTGGCATTAAAATTTTGCTCATGGAAAACATATATGTATTTTGCTTCTGTTGTTCCTCTTTTGATCGCAACCTCCTCCCTACCGTTTTCATTGTTACGCTGTGTTGTGGGCAAGTTGTTTAAACGTTAGCGTTTCGACCTTGAGAATCTCACCATGGCCGATTTGTCAAGGAGACATTTCCTTGATAACATCACCAGTACTCGACTCGACATCTATGCTAATGAAACAACTATTTACTCCTGTGTTAATGATAAATCTGATTGGTTCGATATGATAAAAATGGCAGCTGAGCTTAAAAATGACAGACAAGCTGTTGTTAACTGGGACAAAAAAAATGGCTTGTTAATTAGACCACCTCCAAAAACAAACTCCAAGATAACCTTTTTTTTTCTTTTTTTTCTTTTTGATTTCCACGATTATGGCTGATGCTAACCTAGAGTGACTTATTGCGCCTTCTCGGGTGACACGAAGTGGAAAGACTACATTGAATTCATTATTCGGTCAGCTGCTAATAAAGTTGGTTCACTGTGTCGTGCTAGACAATTTTTATCTCCATAATCTATCTTACATATTTATAAGTCTACCATTCGTCCATGCTTTGAATATTGCTGCCACATATGATGTGGTGATCCTGCTATAAATTTAGAGATTTTTGATAAAATCCAAAGAAAAGTCAGCAATATTATTGTCTACAGTCACTTTTTTACCGCCATAAGATTGCTTCTCTTTGCCTTTTCTATAAATACTTTCATGGTAATTGTTCGGATGAGCTCTTTGCTACGTAAATAGTTTTGTTTCATATTGTAAGTAATCATTGGGGCTTGTTCTCTCATATAAAGAAATAGGGATAAGTGAATGAAAGTGATAAAAAGAAAGAACAAAAGAAAGTGAGAGTGATGAAAGAATGAGAGGGAAAAGAAAGAAAGAAAGAATGAATGAAAGCGAGAGGTTTAAAAGAATGAAAGGGATAAATAGAGAGAAAGAAAGAAGGTGAGAGAGATAAGAGAATGATATGGATAAACAAGAAGGAAAGAAAGAAAGAAAGAAGGTGAAAAAGATAAGGGAATGATATGGATAAACAAGAAGGAAAGAAAGAAAGAAAGAAGGTGAGAGAGATAAGGGAATGATATGGATAAACAAGAAGGAAAGAAAGAAAGAAAGAAGGTGAGAGAGATAAGGGAATGATATGGATAAACAAGAAGGAAAGAAAGAAAGAAAGAAGGTGAAAGAGATAAGGGAATGATATGGATAAACAAGAAGGAAAGAAAGAAAGAAAGAAGGTGAAAGAGATAAGGGAATGATATGGATAAACAAGAAGGAAAGAAAGAAAGAAAGAAGGTGAGAGAGATAAGGGAATGATATGGATAAACAAGAAAGAAAGAAGGAAAGAAAGAAGGTGAGAGAGATAAGAGAATGACATGGATAAACAAGAAAGAAAGTGAGAGGTTTAAGAAAATGGGAGAGATGAATAGAAAGAAAGAAAGAAAGAAAGAGAGGCCTAAGAGAATGAAAGAGATGAATGGAAAGAAAGAAAGACAGTGAGAGGGATAAAAGAATGAGAAAGAAAGAAAGAAAAAGAAAGTGAGAGTGATAAGAGAAACAAAGGGATAAAAAGAAAGAAACAAACAAAATGAGAGGTATATGAGGGAATATAAAGTAAAGCAATAAAGAGAGTGAGAGTGATAAGTGAATGAGAAATAGAAGAAAAAAAGAAAGAAAGAAAAGATGCAAGTGAAAAAGGAGAAGTAAAGTAAGCAAAAGAAAATTGACGTTATATTTGCTGTCTGACTTTTACTCATGTCATCGAACTGAAAGCAAAAGTCATCATACAAAACGCATGTTTTTTTTGTTTTTTTTTTTTATCAGAATGACTTCAAGAAGATAACGTCCTTGAAAGTTCGGTACTCTGTAGAGTAACACAGTTTCCCTTATTGCCAAAATATATATATATATATATATATATATATATATATTTCCATGTCACGATTTGACAGATCAGGTGTTAACTAATGTCGCTGATGTCGAAATTAACGTTATCTTTGCTCGGATTCGCGGGGAAAGGGTTATACGAC